ACATGGTCCAGTGCCCATTCCTTGAAGCGATGTAGTGATATTTGAAGTTTGTCCAAGTATCTCTGCATTCAATCGTCTCGAACCTCGAAGCTTCCGTTTACGTAGTTTACCACCAAAAGGGAATCACACTTTGCCTCGATGACTTCTGCTCCAAAGCCCTTCTCTAGTTCAAGACCTGCGATCATGGCTTCGTACTCGGCCTCATTTTTAGTCAACTTAGAAGTTTTGATAGACTGTCTAATAACACCGCCCGTGGGCGATTTCAAAATGATGTCGAGCCCGGACCCTTTCACATTTGAGGCACCGTGTGTGAAGAGGGCCAAACCCCCGCCGATGTACCCGTTTTTAGCAAGAGTTCTTTTTCTACTTCGGGTACGAGGGCAGGTGAGAAGTCAGCCACGAAGTCTGCCAAAATTTGAGACTTGATGGCCGTCCGAGGTTGATATTCGATATCATATCCTCCAAGTTCGATGGCCCTTTTGGCCAATCTGCCCGATAATTCGGGCTTATGCTAGATATTCCGAAGTGGGTATGTAGTTAATACACATATAGGATGGCATTGAAAATATGGTTTTAATTTCCTAGATGCGCTTATTAATGCAAGAGCTAATTTTTCTAAATGTGGATACCTGTTTCGGCATCCCCAAGGGTCTGACTCACATAATAAACAAGAAATTGCGTACCTTGCTCTTCTCGAACCAACACACCACTTATCGCTACCTCGGACACGAATAAATACAAGTAGAGTGTTTCATCCTCCTTCGGAGTATGCAGCAAGGGTGGGCTCGAGAGATACCGTCTTAATTCTTCCAGGGCTTGCTGGCATTCCGGGGTCCATGCGAAATTGTTCTTCTTTTTAAGCAGGGAGAAGAAATGATGACTCCGATCCGATGATCTCGATATGAATCAACCCAGGGCCGCTATTCGTCTGGTCAGCCGTTGCACGGCTTTCACGTTGTTTACCACAGTGATTTCCTCAATGGCTTTGATTTTTTCGGGATTGAAGCCCATGAAGCCCAAGAACTTGCAACGAGCCGACTCCAAAAGCGCACTTCTCGGGGTTGAGCTTCATGTTGTACTTTCTAAGGATGTCAAATGTCACCTTCAAATGGGTCAAATGGTCCTCTGCGCGCAGGGACTTAACTAGCATATCATCAATATAAACTTCCATGGATTTGCCTATTTGAGGTTCAAACATCTTATTAACTAAGCGTTGATATGTGGCTCCTCCATTTTTTAGTCCGAGAGGCATTACATTATAACAATATGTTCCATACTTGGTGATGAATGAAGTTTTCTCCCGGTCCTCCGGGTTCATTTGAATTTGGTTGTACCCGGAGTAGGCGTCGAGAAAGGTAAGAATCTCATGGCCGCCCGTAGCATCGATCAAACGATCAATGTTGGGCAACAGGAAAGAATCTTTAGGGCATGCCTTGTTCAAATCTTTGTAATCTACACACGTTCTATGTTTATTCCCCTTTTTACGGACTACCACTACGTTAGATAGCCATTCAGGGTATTTTACTTCCCTTATGGATCCTATTTTTAGGAGTTTGGTTACCTCTTCCTTGATGAATGCATGTTTTACCTCGGACTGAGGTCTCCTCTTTTGCTTCACTGGCTTGAACTGGGATCGACACTTAGTCGATGGGTAGTTATCTCCGGTGGGATCCCTGTCATATTTAAATGGGACCAAGCGAAGCAATCAATATTATCGATGAGAAATTGAATGAATTTTTTCCCGAGTTCGGGGGTTAACCCCATCCCCAGGTATACCTTTTGTTCCGGAAGATGCTCAATTAATATGACCTGTTCGAGCTCTTCGATCGTCTTTCATCGCATCTGATTCTTCGGGGGCAACGAAGGTTCGAGGGGTGAGGAAATCTTCTTCCTTGTCCTCAGCCACCTATTCATCGGAAATTTGTCCCTCAGGCTCAACCGAAGGCACGAGTTGTAATTGCTATTTGGCCGCCGGCTCATCCTTCGACTTCTCCGATGCGGACGGAGTCGACACCGGCGCTGAGTCGTGCACTGCAAACATTTCCTTGGCTGCATGCTGCTCTCCATATATCATTTTCATGCCATCCTTCATTGGGAACTTCATTATTTGGTGGAAGGTCGATGGTACAGCCCTCATGCTACGGATCTACGGCCTTCCGAGCAGAGCATTGTATCTCATGTCACCTTCAATACATGAAATTTTGTGTCTTGTATGGTTCCGACCACGTTGACTGGGAGGATGATCTCCCTTCGCTGTCTCGTTTTCCACGTTAAAGCCATTCAAGACCCGAGATGCCGGTATGATTTAATCGAGCAGCCCGAGCTGCTCCACGACTCTGGAGCTGATTATATTCGTTGAACTACCTGTATCCACGAGAACACGTTTAACTTGAACTTTATTTAAAAGGATAGAAATTACTAGAGCATCGTTGTGGGGTTGAGATAGAGCCTCGATATCTTCTTCGTTGAATGTGAGGGTGTCCTCGGGTAAGTAATCCCGAATTCGCTTTTCCCTGGTGATGGACATTTTGGTGCGTTTGAATACGGGTCCCTGCAGGACGTAAAAACTTCAGCAAATAGAGAACAAAACGTCGGCTACTATGCGTAAGTTCAGCAATTACAAACAAAAACTTCAGCAAATAGAGAACAAAACTCTAGCTACTATGCTTAAGTTCAGCAATTACAAACAAAAACTTCAACACGCTTGCTACTTCAGACCCGTCTACTAGAATGCTGAAGTTTTACGTGATTACCTTTGCTACTTCAGCCCTGTATGCTGAAGTTACGCGAAAAAGCGGGTACATTTTTTTTTTTTTGCAAAGCGGACACAAGTTGAAACGTGACCCAAAAAGCAGGTGTAGATGCAAATCCCCCCATTTTCTTATTATGTTAATGCTGGACAAGAACTCATCTTTAAGTTCTGAATAAGAGGTGTGATAAGAGACAAATTATATACAAATATATTATTTGACCCTTATTCAGCTTCTATATGTTGTTGAGATATTACATACATTAAATAGGATCTTTAAATGTAATAACAACGATAACAAATGCATTATATTTCCACATAGTAGGATCTGGGCAGGGTAGTGTGTACGAAGCCTTATCCCTACCTTTGTGGAGGTAGAAATGTTGTTTTCAATAGACCCTCGGTTCAGAGAAGCTAATAGGACCTTTAAATAGGGAAGGGAAAAAGAACCCAGACTATTAAATATCAAAATGAGAAGAGAAACATACCGTGCTTGAAGATTGAGTAGCAACTAGCAACACATTATTGTGAATTATTATTTGTAGGGTATATTCCATTGTAACCGCGCGGAACTTGGATAATCACTAGTGTTCATTTAAAAGAATGATTTAATCTTGTACTATATTTTCAAAAGATATCATTTTAATAATATAAATGGCAAATAATGTGTACTAACACGAAATGAGTAGGAGTAGTTACAATAGGTATGAGTTGCGACGTCTCGTTGCTTTTCGGAACATGGCACAAAGCTGTGAGAGACAAAGATTTCGTCGGAATAAAAGGGGAAAAAAGGAGGAGAGAAGGAAAAAGTGGAATCATCTTACACTTCCAATAGTAATAATAGTTAGGGATCCAAAATAAAAAATAAAATGTAAAGTAGCCGTGTCGTATTTACCCTAGTTCAAGGGGTGTCAAAGCAATTTATACTTCTATCACCCGTGAAACGCTGCGTTTAAACAGGAAAAGAAATCTCGAATCCTAAGACGTTCGTCTTTGTCAAGATTGTCCGTCCGCAATTCTCATGCGCCAGCAGCCATGCAATGGCAGCTCCATAAAGTTTGTGGCCTAAAGCGGTATTAAATAAGAGACCTTATACTTTTTTATTAGTATATATGCACGCATGACACACTTATACAAAAAAAAGATAGTGTTGCCATTTTTTCATACTTGTTATTTATAGTATAACATGCTTAAATGATGAAACCTTTGACTTCACATACTAGTATTTTCATTTATATTAGTAAGAGGTAACTTAAATAAATTGGATGTAAGACATGTATTTTCAATATGTTACCTTTGATTTTGTCGTAAAAAATATATTTAATAATATGAAGATCTAAGTAATTTAATTCAAAGTTCAAAATATTTTTAGTGTTAAAGAGTAGATAGTCTTCCTTTCTTTCTTTTGTCCAAGGTTTATTTTATTTTCTATTTTACTTTGCAAATTTTAATATTGTCTAACTTGAAATAAAATCATAAAATCCATTATTAAAAAATTTTGGGGACCTAAATTAAAGCTTTACCTATCTCCTAATCGAGCCACATGTCCACCCCCTGCTATTCTCAATCAAGTTTATACAATCTCAATTAAGATAAGACAATAACCAGTGAATGTGTTATTTAGTTGGCAAATGTGAAAGGAGCTGTTGAATAACACGTTCATGGGCAGTGGTCGATAAATAATTGCTGATCATTAATGATGGCGGCTCAACGAAACTGGTGGCTTAAAATAAAATATATTAAAAGACTCTAAAATTTCTTTCATAATATCAATATAATATTGAGACCAAAATAGTGGTGAGAGAACAACGTATAATATGTGGGTTAGGCGTAAGCCATATGATATTGAACTCCCTGTAAAAAATATAGCATTAAATGAAAATGGTAAAAGGATTGAGCTTAGTATCGATCGTATTTTGAATCTTACTGGGATTTCTTAGTTAAAAAAAATAAGACACAAAAGAACTTGATTACTGATATGAGGATCTATCAAATGTCACAAAAAAGAATAGCTAATTTAGAGAATTTGATTTTAAATTAGAAAATAAAATAGTAAAAAATATAAAAAAAGAAAGAAAGAAAAATAAACTTTATTTAATTTAGTGAGAGAAAAGTTTTATCATATTAACTCATTCAATCCTACATCTATCAAATTTAAATAAATATTAGAATTTAAAATATTTTATCAATAATTTTATAAATATTATAGTATAATGATATAGTAGTACTTTATATTTTTGGGGCTTAAATATTTGGGGCGTAAGGCAAGAGTTCCACTTGCCTTACCCTAGAGCCGCCCTTGCAGCCATGGCAGCCAAATCAGCTGCTGCTATACGCAAAAATTCACATAGATCGGACCATTTCTTCCAAAAACTTATTAAACATCCTAAATTACCTTTTGCTTTCGCTTTGCTCTTCGCTGATTCCATCCTCGTTACGCTAATCATCGCCTACGTTCCATGTAAAGTTTCAGCCTTTTCACAACTTCCTTTCCAATTATTCTCTTATATGTATATCAAATCATAATTTAATTAGTGAAGTGATTCATTACTTTTGTTAGATACCAAAATTGATTGGGATGCTTATATGTCTCAGGTGAGAGTTCAATTAAATTCATCATTTTGATCTGTATGTTTCTCTTGTTCAGTAATGCAACACAGGCAAGACAGATTTGACTTGAATTTACTTTGGTTAATAATTATGCTTAAAAGACAAATTAAGGCAAAATGTTTCCCAGTATTGGAATGAACACTCTGTTTGTATTATTGTTCCTTGTCGTTTTATAATGTATTGTATTGTATCGTTTTATGAATATAATGTTTGGATAGATTGTATTGTTTGTTATTGTTAAATAATATTTTGCTGTTTGGTTTGACTGTATCGTACTGTACTGTAACTGATAAGTTTACTAAAATATCCTCAATTATTTAAATATTAAATTTATCAAAAATTATGCATAAAAATAGTTTTAAAAAGCAAAACAGGAGGAGGCAAAACACCTTAAGAAAGTAGAACAAAGGAGCGAGATAGAAGAAGGCAAACACAGCTAATTAAAATTGAGTTAAAAGAAAATTAGGAGAAAAAATAAAACAGAAGGCGGCAAAACACCTTTAACGTTGGCGGTAGAAGTTTTGAAAAAAAATAAAGTAGGTTATAGTTTTGAGATTTGGAGTTAAAATAGAAAAAAAAGGTAAAGGTTAAAATAGAATTGTGCAGTAATAAGTTAGGGCATAGTTGGAAAGAAAAATAGGAAACAATCCCATCACACCAAATCGGTTGTTTCAAAAAAAGGGACTTTTCATTGTTCCGGAACAATAGATTTAACAATACAATACAACCAATTTTAATGAAACAACCAAAACAAACATTGTTTTGGGATAACAATACAATACGATACAACGGGGAACAATCATCCAAACAAGTTGGAAATGACTCTTTTTCCTGCATCCGCTGGATGCTTTTAGTGAATTCTCCTTACTTCATAAAAAAAGAAGAATGTTCATATAACTAACAGTGTTCCGTTTCCTGTGACACTGTTTACTTCTTAATCTGGTCCAAAAATAATGATACCTTTTTATATTTGCAAACAATTTGCCGTTGAACTTCTTATTTCACCCTTAATGACATAATTTTATAGCGAGACTAATGTCATGACATATTTAAGATCACAAGTCCCCAAAGTTATTTCTTTTTTCTTTGAACTATGTGCTTAGTTAAACAGGTTCACATAAAATAAGGTGGGAATATATTATAGAGTGGTTGATTATATGTAGCTTTATTGATTTGATTGATTGATTATATTTGGTCAATAGGTTACTGGCTTTCTTGAAGGAGAGAGGGACTATAGTAACTTGAAAGGTGATACAGGGCCTCTAGTTTATCCAGCAGGCTTTCTTTATATTTACTCTGCTATACAATATGTTACCGGAGGTCAAGTCTATCCTGCTCAGGTAATTTTCCTATTTCTTTTCCGGGAGGTATAATCCTTGTTTCAGTGATTGCTAGTAAACTTACATGAGCGGTGCTAGTTTGAATCTAAAGAAAAAAAGTTAATTTGGAAGAGAATGCAAATGCAATTAATTGACTGTTCCCTCTCAAAATTGATTAGATTCTGTAGTGAAGTGACAACTCTATCCTAGAAACAACAAAAGACAGATGTATTTTGTTTTTCTGTGTTAACTAATAACAATGGAAGCATACCATTCGGATAGATGACACCAACTAGCTACCCGTTTAGAGATAAGTGAGAGATTTTCAAACCCTCTACTTTACCTTGAAAAGCAAATTCTTTAGTATTGGAATGAAATGTTCCTGAATAGAGTGCGCAATAATATAGTGGTTGTTGTAGACACTGAAATTTTAACAGATCAAGATAAATCCTAAATTCAAGACAACTCTTGAAATATTAGGAGTCTATTAGGGTTACTTGGTGGCTACTCCACCCAAACCCTAATTCATGCCTATAAATAAGGCTACATAAGTCCTTCAATGGGATCTCAACAATTCCATAAACTTTCGGAATATGCACAAAGAGATCAAATATGAGATCTCCGAAATTCCATGAAACTTTTGGAATATTCTTAAAGAGCTCAAAGACATGTCAAATATGTCTTGCTTAAAGTTCTATGTTCGAGACATACGCCGCTGAGGCCCTCGAATCACGTAGAATAAATCGGAGGAAGAATCAAGGGATAAACAGAGTTGTAACTGCAATGTTTATCAATAAAATCCTTTTTTCTTTATAATATTTGTGATTGCAGTTTTATTTTTCTGCACAAATTTGTTGCAAACAAATTGGCACGCCCAGTGGGACCAGTTCTGCCTTTCATCTCTTCCTCCTGCTAATTAAAAACTTCAAGTTTCAAGATTATCTGTTGCGATGGTCGGGTACTTCAAGTCTCGTCTTCAAGTTTCAGCAAGCCTACACCTCGACAAACCTTGAAATAGGGGGCATTTGTAGACACTGAAATTTTAACAGATCAAGATAAATCCTAAATTCAAGACAACTCTTGAAATATTAGGAAGTCTATTGGGGTTACTTGGTGGCTACTCCACCCAAACCCTAATTCATGCCTATAAATAAGGCTACATAAGTCCTTCAATGGTATCTCAACAATTCCATAAACTCTCGAAATATGCACAAAGAGATCAAATATGAGATCTCTGAAATTCCATGAAACTCTTGGAATATTCTTAAAGAGATCAAAGACATGTCAAATATGTCTTGCTTAAAGTCCTACGTTCGAGAAATACGCCGCTAAGGCGCTCGAATCACGTAGAATAAATCGGAGGAAGAATCAAGGGATAAACGGAGTTGTAACTGCAATGTTTGTCAATAAAATCCTTTTTTCTTTATAATGTTTGTGATTGCAGTTTTATTTTTCTGCACAAATTTGTTGCAAACAGATGCATGCACCTGACTAGTCAATCCTAATCATTGGCATAGTTTATTATTGTGTTAAAAATGGTGACTCCTTTTGAGTTGTGGAGGGGGACCTTCCATTTTAACCTAGTGGAATTTCCATGCCTATTACAAATCCATCTGTAACTTATTTTTATAAAGCAAACTAATTCTTTCTGTTCCTGTAAGCTGTTGTAACATAGAAGATTACCATAGTGGTGCCTAGTTAAACGATATTTGTGTTGCACTTTTAAACATTCGCCAATCCATCTAGATTTGGTGCAATAGCTTTTGAATTTGTATCTGCCTAGATGTTCGGATACAACACCGATCCCAACCCCCAACAGGAATCCATCTCAAAGTCTTTGGCTCAGATTGTGGGGAGGTGTTTTCCAATTCTGGCTTTCTTAGCAATTATGTTAGATTTGACAAGCTGAACTCTTGCTTACCTTCGACCTTGTCTCATAATTTTTGGAACTCCAGCTAGCTCTTCATACTCGTGAGTCGTGATGCACTTTTATGCCAGGCTGCTGATTACTTTGGGCAGTATTAAGGCTGTACAACGGGATGGGACGAAATTATCGGGACGAGATGGATTTTGACCGGGTCAGTGACGGGACGGGCCTTAAACGGGACAGGATAAGTGGGATGACCCGGTAGGCCCATCTCATCCCACTAACAAATGGGATGGGATGGGACGTGGGCCCTAAGTGGGCCTTTTTAAAAAAATCATTTAAATATTTAAGCATTAAATTTGGCAACAATTATTTTCTTATAGATAGCAACAATTATTTTTTTAAAGTTGACAACGACAAAGTTTATAAAGTTTGCAACGGCTAGTTTTTTTGTCTTTTTTAATAAACTTAAAACTTAATAAATTATAAAGAAACTAAGTAAAGAATTATAATTATAATATATTAAAGCAAAAGATTTGTAACGAAATATTTTAGTAATTATAATAGACTTGTAATTTATTCAATATAATCTCAATCTATAAAATAACTAAGTAAGACAATTCATAAATGAAGTTACAAGGCTAAAGCCTTTTATTTTATTAAGAGAAGTTTCAAATTTCACATACAAATACAAGTCTTTTGAGAGCACCTAATCTAAGCAACCACCTTCTAGGAAGGGTTTTGTTTGAACTAGCCTCTTAGTAGCTAATTATAAATTATCATACTAATATTTGTAAGCTCCTATATAGCTTCGTTGTAACTGATCCATAATTTCTCTTAGACATTGTTCTGGAATTGGCAATGTTGCTTGATGTTCCATGAGTTCCATGCCGTCATCGACTCCCAGTGCAAAGTATCTCATTGTATTCTTCTTCTTCTCTAGTGGTTAATTTTTCAAAACCAAGATTTCTTCTTTTTGAATTAATCCAATCTCTGAATAAGACGAAAATCTCTAGGTTGTCCTCCGTTAATGAATGTCTATGATCTCCGATTTAAAATTTTGCTGCGCTAAAAGCACTATTTGATGCTACTGATGATGCTTTGAATAGCCAATATATCACGCTCCCTCCACCATGCCAAAAGTTGTTTGTTGTCTTCTTCGTCTTTAATACATTCCCATCTCTGATTAAGATAAGAATCAAGTTCATCATCAATAGAAGAATCAAATCCTATTATATCCTCCATACCCTCCCATAGAAATTCTACTCTAGCCTTAGAAGTAGTAGCATTTTCACCACCTGTTGTTGCCATAGATTTATGACTATCAAACATTGATCTAGCATAAGAATATATGCTAACTTGGGAGTCTTCGAGAGATGGCTGTTCATTTTCTTGAATTTCTAAATTCTCATAAATTTTTCGAACAAGTCCCTTTGCACCTCTTATTTAATAGATGGGTTAAGTAGAGTAGAAATTAAATAAACTTGGGGAACAGGGAAAAAATACTTTTTAAATTTTGCAATCATTTTATTAACGGCTAGTGCATACGTTATATTTGTTTCATACTTAGCAAATACAACAGAAATTTCACAAATATACTATAATATTTGTATAATAGTAGGATAATATATACCAGAAAATTATTTTGTAGCATAATAAATTTTTTCTCAAAATTTAGTTAGTTTTTTGATCTCATCTCAATCAGACTCAAAAGTTTGATCAGTGGTGATCCCATTATGCATATTAAAAACCATTTGTATAGGCAACCGATAATCATAAGCAACTTCAAGCATTTCATAAGTTTAATTTCACCTAGTACAAACATCTTTTGTAATTCTTCTATACAGAAGGTCAACATATGCACATTGTTGTTTAAACTCACAAATTCTACTCACTTTATTAGCACGAAAAATATAGCCGCAACCATGTTGTACTTTACCACAAGCATCAGAAAATAAATTAATACCACCTTTTACAACCAAGTTAAAAATATGGCATGCACATCTAACATGGAAAAAATATATTCTCATAAAGTTTCATCAACATGGCCATTTCATCGATATGTTTTCTAATTCTTAGGAGAAGGATTAGGATTAGGATTACTACAACTAGCGCATTTACTACTTTTTTTAAATGGGTTGGTTATGCCAAATACACTTTTAAGAGCCATAATTTAAATACAAAAATAACTTTAAAAAGTTAACACAAAAATTGAACACACAAACGGAACACGAAAATAGAACATGTAAAATGAACACAAAAATTAAGCACTAAAATGATACGCAAAAATTAGATATTAAAATTAGGAGATGGAATGAGTGCAACGTAATTATATATTAAAACTTGAAGAAATTGCCCAAAAATTACTCTAAATACTTGACGAATTAATTTGAAGCTTGAAAGTTGCTCCAAAAATTCGCCCAAATACTTAACACGTAGTTGATTATGAGAAAATTGAGAGAAGAATATAGATAGAATGTAAGAGATTTGAGAGAGAATGATTGGTTCTTGCGGGAAAAAATAAAGAAGGATGAGGGTATTTATAGTTAAAAATAGGGCCAAAGTGTAACTTACTAAACTTAGAGGTTAAATTAAAAGTTTGGGGGGGGGGGGTGTTTTGGGTGGGTAGGGGCCAACAATGGCCGTTTATAGCAATTGCCAACAACTAATTTTTTAAAAAATGCCTTTGGCCAACGACTCTTTTTCGAAAAAAAAAATCACGCGGGCTGGCGGGACGAGATGAGACCTTAACAGGCCGGCCCATCGGGACAAAATTGGCACCCCGTCCCATCCCATCCCGTCCCGTTTAATATAGGTCCAGTCCCGTTTAACATTTAGTGGGCCGGATCGGGATCGGGATTGGTCGAGCCGACCCGTCCCGTCCTGTTGGAAAGATATAGGCAGTATACCATCTGCTGAGCGTTTCTTTTCCTTATAGTGACAAAATAAAAAGGGCATCCCAGTGCACGAAGCATCCCGTGTTCACACAGGATCCGAGAAGGGCAGCACTCTAAGAGGGTGTGATGTAGGCAACCTATCCTGATGCCGAACCCGTGACCTGTAGGTCACACTGAGACAACTTTACCGTTGCTTCAAGGTTCCCCTTCTGACAGTGACAATCTGAAGCAAATATTTGTATTTCCTGTAACTATATGCTAATTAGAAAAAATGCAATGACAGACTTTCTATGCTTGTTCCATCTCAAAATATACTTTCTATGCTTGTTTGGAGGGTGGAACCTAGCAGTAGATACCAGAATGAGGAAAAAGTTACTAACCTTTTGCTGGGTTTTGCATGTTTAAGAAAGTTCACATGGTATAGTATAAGTTATAGGTACTTGTTTAGTTGGCTCGCAGGTACTTTTCAGATAATGTGGGCATATGTCTTATCAAAAGAGAAGATGCGCATATTCAGCTTGTCATTGCAGAATCCTTACACTCTGTTTTGTCCTCAGTACATGGTCACAACTTGCATGCGAGTTTGTTGATTTCTACCTTTTCATGTCAGTGCAGATTTTTTTTGGCTTTCTCTACATGCTGGATCTAGCAATTGTCGTGTTCATCTACTTGAAGACTGATGTGGTAGGTTCTCTTCATGTATGAGTGGCTCCTCCAAGTTTTGTGGATAACCTTTTAAGCTAATAGATTCCTGAAAAGAGTTGTTATTGTGACTGTTATAAGACTGGAACCAGTGGTGAAATTCGTTAGTGTTGACTGTCTATTTTTATTTATGTCACTGAAATTGCCTTTAAGAAGAATGAGTCTCTACAGTTTTAGACAGGGATGTATTTTCGTCTTCTCGCATTGCCACAATATACTGATCTCCAACACAATCTTAGTGCTGTTATGAATAAAACCTTATCAAAAGAATGAGTTTCAGACATCAATTGAGACCGGGTGACACGATGCATCTTCTTTAAGCTGGTCAATAGATGACCTTTTTTTTGGAGGTGTCTTGGTAAACAGTAAATCAAAATTATTTCAACGGGATTCTGGAGGATAAATATGATGAAGCCAAGAAGTTATTATGTCGCTGAGAGGTATTTCTGAGAAAAAAAAGAAAGAAAATAGTCAATCTTGAGACTGGTGAGACCTTTTATCGACATCATTCAAATCTTATACCGGGAGATCAGAGTTGTTACTCAGGTTATTTCCACAATTAAGTATGCGTAGTTCAGAGGAAGTTCTAATATAAAAGGACATCTGTAAAAATCTGTCTAAACATCTCTCATAAAGGGGAGTCTCGACCAAATTTTGGGGATCTATATCTTTTCATACTGAATCGGGATTGGTTTTTACTGTAGTGAGGAAAATGTCTACAATATGTGTTACTTTCTTCTTCTTACCATTTTTTCTCTCTTTTTCTAATTTAGCTTTCTCCTTGAAACTTGTAGTTTAAGTTCTTGTAGTAAATTTCAGAATTCATCCACTTGTACTTAGTAGAAAATCTTTTAAATGGTCGAATCACTTTCGTTGGAGTTAAGATATGCTACAACTAATGGACAATAGAGTTGACGATTAAACTGCGCTGCAGGTACCTTGGTGGGCTCTTTCCTTGCTTTCTCTGTCTAAAAGAGTTCACTCTATCTTTGTTCTTCGATTATTTAATGATTGTTTAGCCACTACTCTCCTCCATGCTGCATTGGTCTCAATTATTTATCAAAAATGGCATCTAGGGTTGGTAATTTTCAGGTATATTCTTGCTCAGCTTCGAGATTTTTATTTTTTAATTAATTTTGCTTTGCATCAGTGGATTAGCCATCAGTTAAGATTGATCAATGATCCTCTCTTTCGTACAGTGGAGCTGTTTCTATAAAGATGAATGTGCTCCTGTATGCACCACCTCTGTTGCTCCTGATGGTGAAGGTATACTATTGGGCTATGTTGCGCGGACTCTCCGAAATACTGCCGGACCCGTGTCGGATTCTCCAAAAATACACTGCTTTTGGAGAATCCGACACGCACCCGGTGATATTTTCGGAGAGTCCGAGCAACATAGCTATTGGGACAGTTTAGGTTATTACAACTTAGGACATTGAACTGCATTTCTGAGTTACCTTTTGTGTTATATGGTGGAAACTTGAAATACAGGCAATGGATATTGTTGGAGTGATCTCTGCTTTAGCAGGTGCTGCATTAGTGCAGGTGGGTATTCTCCAAGTTCCCTTTCTAATTCCTAATGCAATGATGTTCAGCTGTGTTGCATTATATATATCATCTCTACTCTTATTATTGTCTTCAGTACTGCAGTTGTGTTCTTTGTTAATGTTGTTTGGGAAATAGTTTTACCATTCCCTTGTTTCGGTAGGGAAGGTTTGTGGTTGCTCCAGGATCAAGGAATCACTTTCTTTTGCTACTCATGAATCACACGATGTTGTATCTTTTTACATTTGCTTGATCTGTATCTTCCATCCTTGATGCTCTTGAGCATCTTTCTAATTGTTATAATTTAATTTCCTCAGAAATCCTCTTACAAGTTTGTGGTCCATATGCGTAGGTGAGTCAAGTGACAAGTATAATTCTGTTGGATGGAGCTTCTTCTGAACAAATTGTTTACCAATGATCGTGATGATTGGTGCAGATTGTCATTGGGCTGCCTTTTGTCCTGTCACATCCAGCTTCATATATATCAAAAGCTTTCGATCTTGGTCGTGTTTTCATCCACTTCTGGTACTTTTTAAAAACAATGTGTGCAAATTTGGTACTCTGAGGCACCATTTTATCATGGACTTTAAAGTTGCTGCCTTCCGTTTCTTGATTAAGTTATCTATTTATTTTATATCTCGATAAATCTCTTTTGTTGCGCAAGACAAATAAACAGTTTACCCCAGGATATTTATGACATCCCCATACTATTTACCTGTGGAATTATTTTTGAAAAACTATGGTGATGAGAGATTGTGGAACTATCAACTTGACAAACTTTTGTATCGACATGCATTAGCATCACATGAAACAGCATTGTTGTATTACTCATGCAATTTTTACCTCAAATGCCATTAAACAACACATTGGTGTTGTCTGCTAAATGTAGGAGATGCATGTTCTTACTTGCTGGTGTAGTTCCTTCTCTGTCTCATCCCTGTGGAGTTTGGGGCTCATTTTCTTTCGCTTGACATAGACAGCAAAAGTATATTTGCCCCATTTCCCTTGAATAGGCCGCTTCTCACCCTAAGTCTACCATGATCGTCAAACTAAGTTTAGTCTGATCCTAATTGGATATTAAGTTGATTTGGCATGCCTTCTAAAATAATCTGACCATTGAGAACTGTATTTCTACCATCTGTTACTCCAAATTATGCTCATTTCGTGCTTTTTTTCAACTCCTTTAGAAAATACAGTTAATCATAACTCTCTGCTTTGTTGCAGGTCTGTTAACTTCAAATTTGTTCCTGAAGAAATCTTTGTTTCTAAAGCTTTTGCTCTCTCCTTGCTAGTTGCTCATCTCAGTCTGCTATTGATCTTTGCTCATTACCGATGGTGTAGGTGAGTATTTCTCATATTATTATGACCGCGAATGTAGTGGCATTGCTATTCCAAAGTGTTGAAGTGGGAGATGAAAAGTCATAATATGATAATTGTATCTATTTCAAGTGTAAGTTCGGGAACCATAATGTAATTCAGAACTCATTGACTAATTTTGAGTTGTAGAAGCAAGTTAACATCACATAACTTTTTCTTCCCTACACAGGTAATGAGATTGGACTTCAATTTTCTTTTTTCATCTTTTGCAGGCATGAAGGTGGACTGTTTGCTGTCGTGCACTCTAAAATCATTCAACTGAAGCTTAGAGTTGCTCACAGAAATCCGTCTCCAACTAACAGGGTCCTTCAAACTGACCGTAAGTAATATCTGTTTTGGGTTTCTCTTTACTTAAAGACCAAGTTTGTTAAAGTGTCACTAGTTTTTGCTTGATTTTGGCATGATTTATGGTTCCTGAATTGGATCTGTCTATCTTATTTTCAGATATTGTGACGACTATGTTTGTCGGGAATTTCATTGGCATTATATGTGCCCGATCCCTCCATTACCAATTTTACTCCTGGTAAGTTCTGCAGCTCATTTTTTTCTTTAGGTTGTGGATTCTATCTCAACCTCCTCCATTCCCACATTTTTTTTATTGAAAAGAAGCTTCAATCCTAAATCAAATGTCTTGAAGTTGTTATTAAGGGTTGACTAATATTTCCAGATTGAGTTTAAAGATGACTAAATTGTTCGTTCAAAATAAAATAAACTACATAAAGTACTAAAATATGCAACTTTTCTCATTTTAAATACTTGAAAAGCTTTAGCAGTTTTCTTGGTAAGGAAATATTTGAAAAGCGTTAGTAAATGATACTTTAGATTGACTCTTTGAATAGTTAACATTCAGCTTATGATAGATGCATGCTTTTATAATCTCATGTTTGTATTGAGCGCGGTTCTGGCGGGAACTCCGCATAAAAGTACATCACATATTTCAAGAGGACTAATATAAACCTCCTTTTGTGAGGAACCAAACAGTAACTGAAATGTGTAATGGGTATCCATTTTAATGGTAAACTCTCATGTTGTAACTTAATTATTGTGAGTCACTAAAATGAATGGAGCTTTCTAGACCAGCCTAATAATAACTACAGATTCCTCAGCATCTCATTGAAGGTGTTAACAGGACTGCTAGCTTTTATTTTTTCCTTTTCTGATAACCAAAAACTCTCTAAGGGCCAGTGGCGCACGGTTTGAAACTCGGTGGATATGGGCCCGCCCCTTTACCCTTTTCCACTTAAATACCAGGTTTTTTATTTGTGGCAAGGTTCAAACCCCGACGTTGGTCTAACTCACATAATGCTGTTCACTCTTACCATTAGACCAAAGTGTTGCGGACGTGCAGCCTGCTTTTAAGGGAGAAAATGTTTATTTTTAAACTGCTCTTTGAGTAAGTAAGCATACTTTTATGGACTTTCTCTGGTGAATCAGCCACACACTGTTCTAGAGGAAGAGAAGAAGATCCCAAAACTCAGTCCTCCACTCTGCCTACTAACATGGCACCAGAACAAGGTATAAAAAGCCTTGATTAGTACTTCCTCTGTTCCATTTTATGTGAACCTATTTCCTTTTAGTCTGTTCCAAAAAGAATGAACACTTTCTAAATTTGGTAACAATTTAGGTTAAACCTACAATTCTACCCTTAATGAGAAGTTTTTATAACCACACAAATACTCTCGGCCCCTTTTTGACTTGTTTAGGACCACAAATTTCAAAAGTCTTCATTTTTTCTTAAACTCCGTGTCCAATCAAACAGGTTCACATAAATTGGAACGGAGGGAGTATTATTAGCCAAGCAGATGGAAAATTGCTCCCTTTTCATTGGTTTCCTGGATTCTATGTCAATGTTTGACCTAGATCTTGTTTGCAGGTACTTTTATAGCTTACCATATCTGTTGTGGAAAACGCCATTTCCAACCCTCCTACGGTATTCAACTTGATACTCAAGCTTCTTTATTTGCTTTAGTTTTATGGTAATTTCTGTTCCAGATTTATACAAGTTTAGTGCTGTTGTGCAGTGTACTGTTGTTCGCAGCTGTTGAGTTTTGCTGGAATGTCTTTCCCTCCAACAGTTTCTCATCAATACTCCTCCTCTGTGTTCATTTAATCATACTGGGCGGTTTATGGATCAGTTCTCCGGAATATCCATATGTTGGAAAAACAACCTATAAATCATCATTTGAGAAGAAGGCCAGATGAAGCACTACATGTTTTCTCTCTGAGAACGGGTAATGCATGCCTGCCCTCATCCTTGACCACCATAGTGTTGAATCTGATGCTCTAACCAGAAAGATGTTGTTTGGTTTTACTGAGAGGAGTTTTTGGTTATTCTGTTAAATTGCTAGTATAATTTTAAATCCTTACTTTGTTATTTGTTTAGATAGGCATACAACAAAGCTACAAAGCGGTTCACAACCACCATCTTAGATTCTAAAATCCATGCATACGACCACCCCTCATTGATCATGGCCCATGGAATTAAGGATGAAATATTCTACGTTTTTTTTTCAACATTTGAGGATTCATTAGCATAAATCTGAATCAGACTTCAAATTTCAAAAAGTCAGCCTTTCTTCTTATTTTTGTGTATGGTTTAATTGTTATCAAGTCAGCTTTTGGTTAATTATAGCATGCTGCGCGTAGGGGCGTACGCAGGAATTTTTGTAAACGGTGTCGACATTTAAAGAAGTGAGCCAATAAATAAAACACTATAATAAAATCCTATTTCATATCTATCTATTATTAAAAGGAAAGAAGTCAGCCATGAGAATTTGCCTAGTATCGAATGAAGAGGATGCCATGTGCCAATTCTAAGACAGTATTAGTTAAACTAGTTAAATTTAGTTTATTTTTTTGAATTTGAATTTAAAAATAATAAAAGACATTCTGAAATTAAAATTATATTATGAAACCCACCCCTAGTATAACTCTTCCCCTCGTTGCGCTTTGACCTAAACAGTAACGATTCCTACATATTCGGTTCCCACGATATGCTTCATTCCCACGATCTCAAACCACGATTTCTAACTCCTATCCCACCAACTCTTCAGCAGGGATTGTCAGTAACATGATTTCATAGCCTTTTAAAATTATTTTTCTACTTTTACAATAAGTAACTCTTTCTCCCTTTTGCACATCAAGCAGGAATTTTCTCCCTTGTGCACATCAAACATGAATTCTGGATAGAAGCTATTAAGTCTTTTCTATTATAAGTCATTGCACCATGTTGTCATAGATGATTTGGTACATTATAGGTGTAGTATTGCTCTCCTACTAATTGATACTGCTTTGTTTGATATGCGTTTATGAAGGTATGTTTGCTTTGTCGTCCATGCAGCCATAACTCAATAGCTTCTATAATTTTTCATTTAAATACTATTCCTAATTAGACAAATTTGGGTTTATCTATTGTGGGATGTCACAATAGTGGGGAAACAAGTAATTCTTTGGCTAACTACCCCAATCTGCTTCACAATTTTCCTCTTTTCATTCTTTTCGCTTATTTCTTTTATGTTCTAAATTGTATTTTGCGTTAATTTGAGTTACGAGAGGCTTTGTTGTACTTTGTCGAAACATATTTTAAGGTCTTGGTTGAAACTCTGTAAACTCTTGAAAATATACCAACATACAGAAAATATAATCAATTCTGATTTTTCTTCAATTGGAATGATTATATGATAAAAGTTCTAAAATGATTATCTACAGAAACTATAGACAATGCATATGAGTGTGCTAACACTGCTGACTCTTTTTTATTCCCGATACTTTGTTTTAGATATATTTTATATTTTTGTTCATATTATAGTAATGTAAATCACCTTACTTTGCATAAGTGTCTTTATTTTGATTCGCACTTCTACTCAATTAATAGAGGAGTTAATGGCGGCTGAAAGTAATTTCATTAGCGAAATTAACAGCAAGTCAATGAACTAGAAATTGATGGTTCGTTTTGTGAGGTTATTAATGAAAATATTATGCTTTTAAATTTTATACTTCTGTTTTTCATTGTTTGCATATGCATCAGTTAAATAGTCATTTAACTAATTGAGTATTTTTGCAGGAAGACCGCGTTTATCAAAGTGTTGGCATATCTCTTATCCAAAGGTTCAACCAACAAATTAAGGAAATAGGTTTGTATGTTATGAAGAATTTCGTGGTTTGTCCAAATAATATGAAGCTTAAGACTAAAGACCACAAGCTTAAGTTGATATTCACGCAGAAGATCAATGTTGAGCAGCTGTCAAATCCACAACAATTTGACAACAGTGAATTATTCAGTAATTAAATCTTCTCATTTTTTCCAGTTGTATTTTACTTTTCATGATCTGTTTTCTATCTTTTGAGAACTAAACCAATCCCAATTATAGTGTCAGAAATCAAAGCTTAAGTTTTAGATTAAAGTTGAATGACTTGATTTTGTTAGATCCTTAAGCATTTAGGTAAACGATTAGTTTTGCTTGCTGTAGCATTATCTTTTTTTTTTTTTTTTTTTTTTTTTTTTTTTTTTTTTTTTGTAAGTTATTCCATCCTCTGGATCCTTTTTTAAGAAGAAATAAGATAAGATACATGGGATCTATTTATTTTTCAATACAATCCCAATTACAATACCTTATATCAAAACTTAAGTGTTAGAATAAAGCTAAATTTCTTGATTTTGTTAGATCCTTGATTATTTAAATGGACTGTTAGTTTTGCTTGCTATAACCTTTTCCTTCTTTCTTTCTGTTTTGTAAGCTAATGCATCCTCTGGATCTTCTATCAATGAAATAACCTTTTTACCTGATTAAGAGTTAAGAAAAAATGAGATAATATATTGGGATATGTGTATTTCTCGACTAAATTTTTATTTATCATCTTCTTGATGGAAATTGCGTATTTTAACGATCTGGAGTACTGCCTCTGATGTGGCTGATTTTATTGAATAAAGGTGACTTATGTTCGATTATTCAAGTATATCAAGATTACACTTCACGTTAATATTGTGTGCAACTAGAAAGGGAGTGACGATGCCATTTTTTGCCATATGTACGACTGTGATACACGAATTCTTTTTGACTCTTCATGAAGATAGATAAAAACTTAACAAAAGAGCAGACATCGCCGACTTTACAATTATGAATTTTGATTTGTTTTATATGTCCTCCAAATGGAATTTCAATAATGAAGTATACTTAAATTGCTAGTGGACTCCAAAAAGTAACAAACGAAGTTACAAATGTGTGTATAAAGAAGTTTTTCATATAGGATAATAGTTGGTAATGAATAAGTATCAAATGAGCAGCAATAACAAGTGTCATGTACATACTCAGAATATATATGCGCATCTTAAAGACAAATATAAAGTTGATTGAGGTAAACATTCTTCTACATTTGATCTACTTTGATATCTCTAATGCAGCCTAAGTAAATCTCCAATCACAATTTAACACTTTTATTAGCTAAATTATCTATTTATATTTGCAGGCACTCATTTCATTTGAATTGTACAACTACAGGAAGATGGATTAGCAACCATCATTTCACTTTTCATTGGTTGTTGCTAGGTATGGCATAGTAGTTATAATGAGTTGTATCAGTAAAGATATAATGGCACTATTTAAATGGAAAATTTGAATTGTTATGGTGTTAAATTTTCCTATTAATTTCATGGCATATGATTGTGTTGTGATTAAATGTAGAGGATTGGAGATATCAATTTCAATGTCAATGATTACCATGTAGTTCTAAAGCCCGTGCAGATAGCTAATTGTTAAACCATCTACATTTCAATTTTTTTCTAAATGAGGAAATTAATTTTGGCTTACAGTTATTGTCTTGTGACTTGATAAGTAGATGTCTAATTTCATAAAAGGAGAGTTTGTGGACATACTTCGGCGTCAAGCAGTGGGTTTTGAAAAAGAAGTACGAAATACAGGGGAGTCAGGGTACACAAATGTGGACGATGGGAAGCCCGCGTGGTGTAGTTTCTCAAAAAGAAGTCAATAACTAATATCTCCATATCTTAAGAATGTCATTATATCAGCGACATAATTGTTAAAGAGTTTTCTTGGTGTAATATAATATAATTATATAGATTTATAAAGAAGTAGTAGAAGAAGAAACATTATGTAATTGGATATATGCATGTATGTATAGCTATCTTGGACTGATTGACAGCAATATGTAAGATGTAATGTCTAATAATCATAACTTGACTCTATCCTTCCCTTCTATATTATGTCGTTTACACTTTCAACATTGACAGAACTTGATTTTTGGCCCACGGTGTATGATTAGACAGCTATAAAGTGTAACGAAACGGAGGCCAACACTAATTTTCAACTAAGCACATATGAAAGGAAATTAAGTTCTGAGGTTGATAATGGAGGTAGTATATTATGTTCTGTCCTAATCATGTTTAACGACATATATTTTTCATTTGTGTTCGGCTGCCATTCATAATCTAATAAACTAGGGAAAAGCTCCATCTATTTTAAATAATGACCGGCATGGCTTGACATGCCAAATGAAAAATATTGAATTTTGGCGTGCCTCATATAGTTTGACAGAATAATAAAGACGTGATAATTTTGTGACATGTTTTTCCTTCAGATTTTTTTGAATCATAGAGTTATGAGATATTTGACAAAGGAATTTGGTAGTTTATGGTTTAATTATTAACCAAGATTTCTTAGTTATACATCTTTTATGCAGAAATCTCTTTCTACCACAATGGGAAGTAAATTGAGTCATGACCCAAAACTGATTAATCTGCCTCTTCTTTGGAATAGAGTTAACACCGGTATCATTCTCATGTTTAAGGTATATTCTTTGCCAAATTTAGCTGAACCATTTTGAATTATTGTCAAGTCGTAAAAATAGCATTCACTGCCAAATAAAAAATTATTAATTGTCATAGTCTGCCAAATGTTTGGATAAGTTTGAGCTTTTATATAGCAATTTAAAGTTTATTTGAGCCAATGATTTGCAATTGTTAATTTTTATGTTAACTCAAATTATTCTCACTGAAATATTATAAAGTTTTTAATCGGCTCTTAATGTATTTAGTTTTTTAACTTTTAAGTGACACATACTTATCAGACACCCTAAAAATACTCTAATATGTAATATTCATCACCTTTTCTTATTATCAGTTTATGATGAGATGTTTAATTGGAAGTGGAAGACATAAATTTTTAGTGGTGTTCATTTTCAAGAAGAGGCAAGTTCTATTAGTAATATTTTTACACAAGCGTTTCACTAAAATAAAGTACAACACAATAGAAGGTGATGTCTTAATTACTATGAATTGCACATATATTTAGCTATACTTTATTAATCATAACTTTAGAAAAAAAATCCTGCTTTTCCAGGTGGACTAATCCTTTTAGGCCAAGTACTTCTTTAGCATTATTCCAGTATATTGCAAAAGCTCAGCTATCCAAATGTACAATTCGCTGGTGAGTAGACTTGCAAGGTATCACCTACAAAATAGAATATAAAAAAATATGAGCAGGTATTGTTCAGACTTTAGAGTCCAGATCACACAATACCAATATGGTCTGATTTGAACCTCTTGCCAATTATGGAAACTCCTAAGATTATAACGTATAAGTTAGAAGAGTTTCCTGATGGCAAATGCATGCTGATCTCCAACTCAAAAAAATGGATTCACGGAGTCATTACCGAGAATATCTTCTTGCAAACTATATATCATGTGGTAGAATTCACATTTTTTGCAATAGAAACAACAATTTTTCCATCAATGTGGAAGGCCTGCACCTTATAATTCAGTGTTAGAATCAATATAGATACAATTACGGTCTTACAGAACGACATTGGCGAGGGATATTAAAAGGACCATCTGATCTTTCTCTGCTGCTCGGACCATTTGATCTTTCTATACTGCTCTTCATTGATCTCTGTCATTCATACCACGAAGCGATGAGGCTGCATATACAGTAGCACATCAGTAAAAAGATTCAGCTAACTTTGACAGATGAATTAAGAAAGATAAATACTTCATCTATTTGTCAAGTTGCTTCATTTCATTAGCGAACACAAAGAAGGTGAACAATAAACTATTATTCAGTGTGACTTCTTTCCTTATAAACTGTACTCAAAACTTGATGTTTAAGTTTTTTAATTGTTTATAGGTCTTGGAGAGCACCATACGTCTAAGCTATCTTCACGGCTACTGGAAAAATTTCTTAGAATAGTACTTTCATTTCGTCTTGATCATACTTAGGCCCCAATATTAGCTCCAACGAAATTCATCGATTTATTTTTTATTTTAATTCATTTGAATTCGATCCCTAAATTTTTAATCTGCAATATACATATGTTTCTATTATCTCTCTTTGCTCTTTTTTCATTTGACTCGAACCGCGCATCGCGCGGGTACGTATACTAGTTTTTTTTAGAAACAATAATTCAAGTACCCTAATACAAATTTCTCTTGAACGAGTTCTAAGTAATATTCTAGTTCAGAAGAGACACCAGAAATGTCTAATATAATTTAGTCTCGTGTAAACGTCTAATTCCCACGAAACACTCTCTTATGATAAATTCTCCACACGTTCCACATCAGGCATCGAAATGCACTTATTTGGACCCTTTGAAGGTATTAGTCAATCCATAACCTTAGAAGGCTCTCTTTGATTGTCCCTATTCATCAGAGAACAATATTCTTTTCGTAGCTACTGATAAAAGACAAATTCTTTTTGTAGCTCCAACTGATTTTATACTCCTTGCACAAGGAGGCGTTACCACTGATCAATAAAAAAGTTTGATGACCTATTGACAAATCATTATCGATGATATTGACTCTCCCATAGAAGATAATATAAATCCAAAATCCAATCCATTGGTTTGCTCACTCTACCGTGTAAATAACATAAATGAAGAAGATCAAAGTTCAAGGCATGTCGATTGGCCCTTGATGATCCACGAAAGTGCCTCAAGAATGTCTAATACCAACATTAACTAACAACGATGAAGTGTCTAGTTTACTGCCTTAAGCAAGAGGTGGTCGGTAACATAGCAGTCTTTAACTCAAATCAATAAAAGGAGGCTCTAATATCAGGACTTTTGCACTTTGCTACGAGTAAAAGTTTCTAATAACTATCAACTGACCCTATTACATGGAGTATTCACAGGTAACTCTTAAAAACAGTGTGAAATTCCCATGTATAGACTTGTGGCACAGTATTTTGTTAAATTTTCGTGTATTTTGAAGAATCTGCACAAAGCATCCATACTCATACGAGACAGTCATTCAACACTCTAAAGATAAATGTAACACAAGATTGACCAATATGAGGATATAACTCAAGCCTAGAAAGCTCTTAGAAAAGCAGCTTAAAGAACTTCCCTTCTCAAATATACAAATCAATTGGGCACAAAATTATTACATAGCACAGTTTACTAGTCATTATCATTCTTGAATAATTAAAGACTTTACATACCTCTTCAGAAAGAGAACAAAAGTATGAAATCAACAAATTAACCATTTCTCAAAATCCTTTAGGCCCATCAGTCTCCTTCAAAACACCAGGCTCTTGATTATCAGTCATAGAAAGACAATACTTAGCAATCTCTCTAAATTTAGGAACACTTCTCAAATCCACCTTAGTCCCATCCTTCAAAGTGATAATGACATCACCCCATTCCCCAATGAACCTTGGCACAACCTGAACATCTTTGACCACTTTATATGAAAAGTCACTCCTCTCTTGACCAGTTAGCCCTGAAATAACAGTGACCCTCAAATTTGTAAACCTGTACCTCAAGTAGAAAGCCCTAAATACTGCAGCTAGAGTTAACGGCATCCAAACAAGAGTGAAACCCAGAAGAAGGTTAGCTAAGAGGTCTCCGTAGTGAGCTCCGCCGTCGAAAAAGATGGTTTCTTGATTGGGTTTCGACGACGATGCTGTGGCTGCAACTGGCTTGGAGGACACGTGGAGCTTGGTTATTGGCCTACTGCATTTTGGGGTGGCAGATATGAAGGCTGTTCTGGTAATTTTGTGCAGAGAATTGGTGGTCGGAGAGAGGAGTGGGGCGGCGGCGGAGGTGGTGGTGGTGGCCATGGCCATAGTTTTATCCGTTAGGATGAATGGTTGGTTGATAGTTAAGAAGGGATTTTGAGAATTCAGTTTCCATTCTATTTTGTCAACTTCCTAGCCACTAGTTATATAGAAATTAAAAATCGTTTTTATTTTTTGGAAATAATAATTTTAACATAAATAGGAAGGACTAACTTATCGACATAAATAAGAAAATCATCAATAACCTGTCTGATCAAATTTTTAAAGTTGACTTAGTTTAAAAAGTACTGAAAAAAGCATATAGAGCAGCAATTTGTAGTTGTGTTTACCTCAAAAATACGAATAACAATTAAATTTGATTTGTGATTTTAAAGATACGTGATTAGATTCAAAACCAATTAACAGTCAAGAAATATGAAGTAGAAGTGAAAGAAATAAGTGGATCAAACCAATACAACTCTGCGCAGTGACCTCAAGCTTAGTGACCTCGAGGTGGATTTAGAACAATAAGAACAATTAAGCACGAAAAGTAAAGTAAGAGCAGTAGAGCTAAAGGATAATTCTGATGAACAGTAGGCGAAAAGTAGAGAGTATATTCTTTGCTCAATGATTAGATGGTGTTACAAATGATTGGGGTTCCCTTTATATAATAGGGGAACCCTAAATAAGGTATATTTCTATTTACAGTAAGGAATATTCTTGGTACAGCTGTCTAACCGCCTAGTACGGAATAGTACACTCCTATTCCAGGATTTGCGCCGTGATCTTGGGGACGTGGCATGAATCTAGCCCATTCTGTTACAAGTCCATAACGGTACTAGTTCGGGGTCGAGCATACTCGACCTCGGTGTGCATCGCGCTCTGGCTTCAAACTCGGGTCTGGTTCCTCGAGCTCGAACTTGACCTTGCCTGAATTCGGACTTTGGACGACCTCTCGAGCATATAAATCTAAGGCATACAATCTCGATCGTATACAGATAGTCCCCGCGTTTCTTAGAGTAAGATGATAAAAAACGATTTGAACCTCATTTTCCCGGAGTCTCTAGTGATGACGTCATTTCCGTGACGCATGCGCTCGAAGTGACTGAAACGTCCCGTCGGTTCGCTTGCCCAAAACATTAAATGTACGCTAGTGCTGGTCTGCCATCAGCGCCGCCGAACCGTTGTCACCTATCTATAAATATGGGGCTACTTCTTCAAATGATGGACTTTACTCTTTCATCACTTTCGCTCTGATTCTTCTTCATTTCTTTCCCTAATCATTTGCTTCCACCGTCCCTTTTTGCGCCAGAAAACGCCAAGTCCCCGTGAAACACCACTTTTTGCTGCAGTCTGTATTCCTTAGCTTAAAATCATGGCTAAAACTTCCAAAACGGTTCCCAGAAAAGATAAAGCGTCGTCTTCTTCTGCCTCCTAGCCGGCCAAACCAGTGGTGCCGCCGGCTCTTGAAGAAATCACTCCCGGACCTTGCGTAATTAAGAAGGACTTCAGTATTGAAAATCCCCCCGATGTTCCGGGCCGATGCGAGCATGCATCTCGATATCTTAGTTTGATATCGGAGAAGAACCTCGAAGCAATGAAGAGGGACTGCGGCTGGGGAGACGAGGTCCCGATTCAGATCTCGAGCCCCGAGGAAAGCATTACTACCCACGTGGAGGGGTATTTAAGTGTTTACACTTACCCCTTCACACTGGGTCCCCTCGATCCGGTGGTGATCGACTTCTGCAAAACATACGAGATTACCCTCGGCCAGATTCACCCTTCCTTTTGGCGCATTGTGATCATGCTGCGCTACTTTTCCGAGAAGGCCGAGGGGTTGGAATTCACCCTCAACCACCTGATTCGATTGTATCGGCCCCAGCTATTTCGAGGGCTTATCAAGCTGCAACGTCGAACAACAAAAGCCTTCTTTGCCAGTAATGACAAAACCAAAGATCGAGGCTGGATGAGCCGGTTCGTCAGAGTAAGGACTTCGGATGTCATCCCCAAGGATAAAATGCTGTTCCCGGAGAGATGGAACTTTAACCATAAGTGGATTTCTTCTTCCTTGTCTTTATTCATATTCAGCTTTCATGTCTCACAATGCCTTCACCCTTTTTGTAGCCACTGCCTGGGCAACTCACGCGGTCCCCGACCTCGAGGATTGGATCCGAAAATCAGCTGCCACCTCGATGAGTGCAAATGGCGTGAATTATCGAGGGGCAAGTGGGAGGCCAAACATCATGGTAAATTCTCTTCTGAGGTTTCAGATATTTTTCATTTGCTGGTGGCGTCAACTTATTCACGTTTACTTGTTCAGGCATCGGAGATGTTTCCGAAATGAGGCCGGTTCCGGCCGTGGAAAAGATTGCACCCTCGATCCCGAAATCGGGGAAAGACAATAAAAGAAAGAGGGCTTCGAAGCCCGAAGATTACCAGGATGGGTTCGTACCTGCTCGGAAGCCGAGGAGAAGACTCATTCATGTGGACTTGGATTCAGCCATCCAATGCCTGGAGGATGAAGAGAACAATGGTGGAGAATCGACGCTGGTACCTCGAACCAGGAAACCAATCGAAGCCGTCAATGCCTCTGAATCTGATGCCTTGCCACTTGATGAAGGGACTCCGAATAGAGACTCGGAAAAAGCCCTCGAGTTCCCCGAGATCGAGATCGTACCTCCTTCTTCAACAAATACACCGAAGGGGACAAGAGCTGAGAGGGCCTAAAATAGCTAGAGCGCCCCGAGCGAGGAGCTCAGGGCCATGATAATGGGTCATTCACTTTCTCTTCCAGCTTACCCCGAAGAGACAATAAAGGATTCACGGTCTTTGCAAACACCTGATCCGAGAAAGATCCTCGAAGAAAACCCTTTTCGGGATTGTTTCACCGGGGTTGGCGACGTTGCTGACCTTAACGACATCCACCCTTTTCGAGGAGGCTCAACGTCTTCTTTCTCAGGTAAATGCTAACTTTCATTGTCGTAACTTCCTCTTCCCTTCCTTTCCTTTGACTGACACATCTTTACCTCGTGTATAAGTCATCGCCAAGTTTAGAGCTGAGCTGAGCCAATGTGAGGCCGAGCTCAGGAGGGTTTCAGATGAGGAGAAAGCCCTGAGGTTCCTCTTTGGCCAGAAGGAGGAGGAGCTTAAGGATCTTCGAGCTGAGTTGGACAAGGCTCGAAAAAACGAGAGCGAGCTGGATGAGCAGGTAACTATGATTTTAACAGAGTATGGTCTTCTTGGACTTACTACGGAGGCTAATACTTTGATGTCTCAGCTGCAGTAGAAGTTGGAGATGATTGGGTAGCTTCGGAGCGAGGTTGATCAAGTTAAGGCTGACTACCATAGGTGGAAAAAGAACATGGATCAACTCGCTGCCGATAAGGAAGCTGTTACAGTCCAACTGACCTTGGCTGAAACTCAACTCTGAGATATTAAAGCGAAGGGTCTGGCCCAGACCAGGAAAATCAAGGAGTTAGAGGCGGAGCTTGCTAGAGCCTGTGTTGAAGCTGCACAAGCTAAGGCTGAGGTTGAGAAGACGAAGGACATGGCTAACAAGACCATTACCGTGTACTTAAAAGATGCTGCAGCTGTTCAAGCGGAGCTGAGGGAGGCCTCCGACCAGGAAAAACGGAATAATGATTTCCAAGTGTCAAGCCCGGAGGGAGACTCTCGAGGAAATCCACGCCCAAGGGTTCAACCTTACTGAAGAGATTGCCGAAGCAAGGGGCGCGGGAAACCGATGCTAGGTTTCTTGTCTCTTCTGATGACGAAGATGTTGTGAGCGGCTCCGACGGCGGGGAAGGTGAGGAAGGTGTTCCCGAGGAAGAGGAGGCTCCCGAAGATAGAGCTGCCGAGGGTGCGTTTCCCGAGGAAGCTGCTTCCGGGGACGTAACCCCAAAATAGACTAGGCTCTCTTTTTTCTTTTTTGTGTAAGGGCCCCTCGCGGGCGTTGTATATGTACTTTTGTAAAACATCCTTGGTGAATATAAAGAACCTTTTTGCTCTATCCTCAACTTGTGTTGAATTTCATTTTGTTCTCATTTGTGGAAGATTCAATTGCATAACTCGAATGATCGGTCCGAGTATTGGTTTGGACTCGGGACATAATAAACCCTTAGGTCTTTATTGACAAATATAATAATCCTCTAGCTAAGTTTGAATTGATTCGATGCGAGCTCAGGATATCGGGACTCTTGAGTCCGAGTTGAGTGAGAACGGAGTTTCAAACTATATGTTTTTGTCCCTTAAGCCTTTCGAAGTCGGCCCTTAGGCTCCTATATATCGGCCCTTAGGCTCTTTAAGTTGGCCCTTAGGCTCTTTAAGTTGGCCCTTAGGCTCTTTTAGATCGGCCCTTAGGCTTTTTAAATTGGGCCAATTCGACCTCTAGGATGACTATATAATTTTTCCCTCTTTTCGGCTAAAAGACTTAGTGAAAATTTTAATTATGCCTTAGCATTTAATTTTTGTACCCATTGGGTTTTTCGAAGGTTCGATGAATTAGAACCTTATTAATAGTTTGTTTGTGTAAACATAATCGAATACCTCTTGAGGTTTTTTTGAAGGCTGATGTTGTCGAAGCCTTTAGATTATTCGAGGGCTGAATTTATCGAAATCCTTTTGCTTTTGCCGAGGGTAGCCTGATTTAATTGGTTTTTTCAGTGTTTGAAGGCCTTTAATTTATGGCGGAAGTCGGACGTCTCCGAGCCGCATTATTTCGGCCATAGCCTTTTATATGACCGTAGTCTTTACTATGGTCGTAGCCTTTTATATGGCCATAGCCTTTAGTTTTGCCGTAGCCTTCGGGTGTGTCTCTTGGACTTGTTTCCCACTTTTCGAACTTTTTCGAAAAGTTAGTCTCCGATTATATTGGCCTTCGCCTTTGTTTCGGGGGAATGCCTCTTTGAGGTCTTATGAGTCCGAGTTTTTGATGGCTCGGACGAGTTGACTGTTGACGACAGTCCCCGAGTATCTCGGGGTTAAATTCGAGCTTTGGCTCTTGGGCCGTTTCCCGTAGGATTATAAGTGTAGAGCTCGTATAATAATAGACTTCTTTGAGACATAAAGTGTTTTTGATATAAACAGGATGCTTTTTCAAGTAATTGATACATGCGTACAAGTTCCGCCGTCGGGGCTCGGATATT